TTTTAGCTTTAGCTGCCAGCTAGCTCTCATTGTATTGTTTGGGATGGCTTCTTTTCAAGTGAATAAATAAGTTTGTGGTGTTGCCATCACTTGCCTTGACGCTCTCCTTGTAAATGACGTTTCGCTGCTCTTTGTCATCTGGTGAAAAACCAAACCAGTTCCATATAATGGACGAGGCGTTCCTCTTCAGAACGAAAACTTCGTTGTCGCTCTCAGCCGCAGCCGAAGCCATGTTTGTTCAAACACAGGTGAAAACAAGCGGGGCACTAATATGACATTACTATGACTCACTCTGATTGGTTAAGGGTCAAACAAAGGCGTGTTTAGGGACGGGTACCTTTGACATTTGAATCGATCCGGTACTAATTCCCGGTACCTAGGAATCGATACCGGTACTTAACGGTACCAATTTTTGATACTTTAGAGTGTTTATTATTTTAATTCTCTTTTATAATTAAATATATATTTTTCTCAATATATAACAATATTTGATATATATCACGATAAATAACATACAACTGTTTGTATTTTAACATCGTCCTTGTAGTTTTATAAGCTGATAATTAAACTGAAGAAAACATCTTTACTGTGAACTATATTTACTGTGTATCTTCATTCCTTTTGCCGTCCTTTTTCATTTGATTTTTCCTACTGGGAAGATAGAATTTCCGAGGAGAAAGCGAACGCACCATCAGATGATAACAAAGGTGGCAATGGAAGCTAACATATCAAGCTAACGTTATCTTTAGCAGTTTATTTAACTGCTGGAGCAGATTAAAACGATGATGCCTCACACTTAGATCGTTGTCACTGGTTTCATCTTCACCCAATCACCTGTCGCATTTGGTAAAGTGAAGCCAAACTTTAGAGCGCGTTCATGTTCTTCTAGTCGGAAATTCGGAGTTCCGAGGAGAAAGCAAACACACCATTAGCGAAACGGAAGCTAACATATCAAGGTAACGTTATCTTAAACATTATATTTACCTACTGGAGCAGATTAAGATGAGGATGTCTCACTTAGATCGTTGTCTGTCGCTGGATCATCACCCAGTTACCCATCACATTTAGTTAAGTATGAAGTGGACCGAAGCGTTAGCGTGCATTCTTTCTACCATGCTGCTCTGTTTACAACTCGCTCGCAGGGATCAGGGACCGACGACATAACGCTCTTGCACATGCGCAGCTGTCTTGGCAAGTTCTCGTTATGAAGCACGGGTACCGAAACGAGGCACCGTTTGAAATGATGTGAATCGGTGCTCGGTCGGTACTATGGAATTCGGTCGGTACCATTCGCCTGAGGTAAGTTCCCTTTTCATTCAGAGGCAGAATTTCAACAGCAGAGCTGTGAATCGTGATAAAAAGGTCTCTCAAAAATGACAGACCGTCAGATGTATAGATCGTAAAACGGTCTAAAATCGTCATATCGCCCAGCCCTAAAACATGACTGGTTTAACATGTAGAGGTCTTTTCAAGTTTCTCCCTGTTGATCTTTGTCGGCTGGTTTTCCACTCGTGCTAGTTTTGGCTCTCTACTGGCAGTATGAGGAGATTCCTTAACCCTACAGAAGTGCACAGGTTGTCCAACTTCTCCAGGATGGCACATCCACACATGCTGCAGCAAGAAGGTTTAACGTGTCTCCCAGCACAATCTCCAGGACATGGAGGAGATTTCAGGAGGCTGGTGGTTATTCTCGGAGAGCTGGACAGGGCCGTAGAAGGTTCACAACCCATCAGCAGGACCGATACCTGCTCCTTTGTGCAAGGCGGAACAGGCTGAGCACTGCTCGTGCCCTACAGAATAACCTCCAGAGGGCCACTGGGGTGAAAGTCTCTACCCAAACAATCAGGAACAGACTTCATGAAGATGGCCTGAGGGCCCGACGTCCTGTAGTGGGCCCTGTGTCACTGCCCAGCACCGTAGAGCTCAACTGGCATTTGTTCAAGAACACCAGAATTGGCAAGTCCGCCACTGGTGCCCTGTACTTTTTACAGACGAGAGCAGATTCACCCTGAGCACCTGTGATAGACGTGAAAGAGTCTGGAGAAGACAAGGAGAACGCTATGCTGCCTGCAACGATGGTCTGGGGAGGTATATCCATGGAGGGACGCACAGACTACTGCCTAGAAATGGTGCTCTGACTGCCATTAGGTATGGAGATGAAGTCCTTGAACCCTTCGTCAGACCCTACGCTGATGCTGTAGGTCCTGGTTATCTCCTAATGCACGACAATGCCCGGCCTCATGTGGCAAGAGTATGCAGGCGGTACCTGCAGGATGAAGGAACTGAAACAATTGAATGGCCTTCACGATCCCCTGACTTAAACCCAACAGAACATCTGTGGGACATTATGTTTCGGTCCATTAGGCGGCACCAGGTTACAAGAGCTCAGGGATGCCCTCACACAGATCTGGGAGGAAATGCCACAAGACACCATCCGTTGTCTCATTAGCAGCATGACCCGGCGTTGTCAAGCATGCACACAAGCTCATGGGGCCACACAAGATACTGAAAAGCAATTTGAGTTGCAGAAATTAAGTTTTTGAAATAATGGACTAGCCTGCCACATCTTCATTTCACTCCGATTTTAGGGTGTCTACACAACTGAGCCCTCTGTAGGCTGATAACTTTTATTTCCATTAACAGACTTGGCATCCTTTTGTTCCTAAGACATTGCCCTGTCCTTATTTGTATAGATATCCAACTTCATGTTGAGATCTGATGTATCTAAAGTGTTCCTTTAATTTTTGTGAGCTGTGTAGGTAAAAGTATGTATGATTTGTTACTGATATCGTATCGGTACTGGTCAATACTGAAGGCTGCAATATCAGTATCATATCGGAAGTCAAAAGGTTGTATCGGGAAATCCCTTTCTCCTGAAATTCTGACATCTCGCCTCCGATTTACTAACAGAAATGTGACTTTACCACAGACATCATGTATGTAGACTCAGCTTGGACCGTCACTGCCTATACGTAGCCGAAGTAACACCCATCTACTTCTGGACCATGAGTCCTCAGAAATACGAACAGTGGCAAAAGTTATTTTAGGTTATGTGTGAAACTACATGTAGAACTACAAATGTGTCTCACTATAGAGACATAATTGAAGCAGACACAGAAGAGCAGAGGAAAAATGGCTGTAAGTGTATCTAAAAAAATTCAGCCGGAGGTGTTTTAAAACACTTTGTAAATGCCTCTGTTGTGACTGAAGCCAATCAAAGAGCTGTGTATGACTGCTGTGACATTAATGCAGGGTTTCCTGGCTCAATCTGAGGCAGAGGTGATACCATCCTGACCATGCGCCAGCACATGTATACTCTGTGCATTCAACTGCCTCACCTTTTTAAAGGCAAAATATTATAAAAGGCTCAATAATAAGCATTAGATTGGTGTTTAGTTCCTTTTTCCCATCTGATATTTGTAGTTAAAATATTTTTAAATATTTCACCTACATTCCAGTAACATTTAAGGTTTGTATTAATAACACTCATCTTAGTCAAAATAACACATAAATATATCCAGTAAAATATAATGCATTTCATTAACATGCATTTGTATTGGAAATGCTAATAACATTTAATTTCTGATGCTAACAATGTAACGGTGGCATGTCTATTATGTACAGGTTAGGGTTGGGGGTCATTTTGCCTTGGCCCCCAAAATGTCTTGAAACGGCCCTGGGTGTGTGACTGAGTTTTGAAGGTGATCTGAATTGTATCAGATGTATGAATATTACATGTGTGTAACTTATTGTTTTATACAGGTAAAAACGTGTAGTGGAGATAAATCTACCTGCATTTTACTTTCGAGCTTTGTTTTCTTGTTTTTATGCAACTATTTTACTGTCCCGTCTGTCTCTCATCTTCCTGCATCTCCTCTAAAGTCTCCAGAAAAACTGCTGCCGGGATTCTTTCACCTCATCACTTACTTTTGAGCAGATCAAAGGGATCTCCTGACCGCAAAGCGGAGTGCTCGTTTTCGATGCTGCGTCAGTGAGGTGAAATCAGCGCAGCACACGATGAGCGGCGCGTCAGGAACGATTAAAAGACAGAATATCAGAGGATATAAACAGATATGAACAATCATGTGTTAATAATAATGTTTTGTTGCGCCACTTTGAGAATGTATTGTACGCCGGACGCAGCGAGCGCGCCAACGATCAGCGCTCTGCGTCCTCTCCGCTCAGCAGAATTTCGCTACGCTGAGAGTTCATAAATAATGTAATATAGGCAGAAACTGGATCTTTCCCTGAAAGATATCTAGCCCCCATAGTTCGATCCCTGCTCCTGGATGAAAAACTGGACATTTTATTCCATGTAGGAAACCCCACCGGACGCCCCGGGCAGAGAGTGAAAAGTGGACATGTCTGAGGCAAAGAGGTCGTATGGTCACCCTACAATAGCACCAACCATTGATACGTACCAGCTAGCGAGAAAAGCAATTTTTAATCTTTTTCTGCAGCGGTTTTAGCGCATTCGGTGCACCGCTGCTGATACAGCGCGCCTGTAGTGACGCAACATCCATATAGCTGGGGGCAGAGTGAAATCAGGCTGGGGCGGCACAAAAATAGCTGGAGGTGGCCGCCACGCTACTTTAAACGCAGGAAAAACCCTGCATTAATTGTTCATAACATTTTCACAGGAACACTCCTCAAAACATGTCAACGCTAACTTTAGAAGCAGCCTCATTTAAAACAATACTGGTCTTTGCAAGTAACCAGACAGTTGTGGGAGACAGAGAGAAGAGAAAACATAAAAGCACTTGGGTCAAAACCAACTAAGACAGCCAAACTGAGGACTCAGCTCAACTTGTTCAAATACAGTGTCCCAAGAGCCCCAGATGATGGATGGAATGACAGCTTTCTGCTGAACCTGAATGTTTTTCTTAGACCTCAAAAAGTGGACATTCAAGTCCAAAGCATCCCAATCTATATTCTACAATAACACTTAGTAAATGCAAAATATTAAATAACATTTTGTCACCACTCAATTGCACACTTACAGCCTCGGTGTGGATGGGGTGCACAGCAAACAGCAGCGCTGCCACTAAGCTGGAGGTCTTGTCCAGGAACAACCGGCAAACCCGCAGGAAAAGCACACAGACAACGCCATGTAAAACAATATTTAACAGGTGGTAGGAAGCTGCGCTGAGTTCACTGACGAGGTAGTTCAGTCGGAATGTGAGCACCGTCAGGGGTCTGTAAGATTTATGGCTCCGCTCCTGTAAAGAACACGATTGTGCTGTCAGATGCAGGTCATCCACAGAATAAAAGCTTAGGTGGGAGAAATTCTTCGCATTAAATATACAGTCTTGCTTATTACATACAGTGACAGCCACTTTTAGGAATATTAAATGGCAAATAGGTCAAAGCATGATGTTAAGATCCTCTTAAGCTGGGGTATTCACATTTTAGCACACCTGATTCAATGGTTTCATTATCTCACATTGGTTCAAATGTGTGAGCAGAGAAACAACTAAAACAAGCAGGCAAATTGCCCTTGAGGACCGGAATTAAACACACCTGCTGTAAAACATACAATCTCTGAAGAGAAAAATAAGCCTGTATCCAAATAGGACCATGACTTGCCTCAGCCATGGGGGTGCCCCAAAAGTCATTGAGAAACAGGTTGCGAATGGGGGTGGTGGGCCGGAGGTCCTTGTTGTCGAGGATAGCTGAGACATCATCAAACACAAAGCCACACGAGAGACTGTTCCAGTAACATCCCACCACCAGTCCAGTCAGAAATAAAATCTCCTTCCATGACACGACAGCCATGGCTGGCCAAAGCCCTCATTGATCACTGCAGGGAAGGAGGGGTTGGCAGAAATCAAAATTAATAAGCACAGTTTGATTTAGTTTAAAACGCTTGTATTGTACTTACATTACCAAGCTGATTAAACAGAATTAAACTTTTAAAACTTTGTGTTCCGAGGTTAGAACAGGTCATGAAGCCAATTACATCAAATGTTTTCTGTCTAACTTGAGCCCTGTTATGGCAACAAACTGCAATTTCAACAGTATTTTCTTCTCTGATTGACTGGATTATTTATTCTAGCCTATAATTAAAAGTAAGGTATTTTAATGGCACAGCAAGTAAAGGTATGCATGGAGACTGACCGTTGGCTTTTAAGCTTATCCGGTCAAACCACGACCCGGAGCTGTGACATTTGTCAGTAACAACATCATTAGCAATATAACTCGCTCATTAACATCTACTTTAAAATACAGTATGACGGAAAACGAGGTGGTTCTTGTGTATTCACAGTGACGAGACACCACTAAAAGAGCAGTAAGAGAAACTCAGTTTGACAGCTGAAACTGAACAGCTAGATACTTCATCCGCTAATGCTAACTAGCTCGTTACCCGTCTTTATGTTCTGAAATGTCTAAATATGCGCATTAAGGTCTATCTTACCAAGTGATTACAGGACAGACGGCAGCAACACCAAATCTTATATCAAAATCAAGAAATAGTAGCGTAAATTCGGACAACATAGTTCATCAAACTGTTTTCCATTTGTGCAAACTAGCTTAAACGCTTCTTCGATAGTACTTCCGGGTCAGAGGTGACTGCGCAGGTCAAACTTTAGCTAAACAACAGAGCTGCTAAACCCGTTTTGATGGATGAAACTCACTTTACAGACTCTTCGGAAACGTTATAGTGCGGTATTCCTTTATTATAGGGTCCCGTTTATTGTTTCGTTGTGTTTTCGTTGACGTTTTGTAGCACTTGAAGATTTTTGTGAGTTTTACTTCCTAGCTGTAGCAGTTGTGAAGCGTAACCTAGCAGCCAAAGCCTCACAGAGACCTCAGGAGTTAGGATGAGAGTTTACTGACCTTTTTGCTTCAAAACTTCAGAAACGTTTACACGACGTGTTTAAAGCAGCCTACCAAAATCTACGTTTTATATGAGGTTACAGCGGAGCTGAGTAGAGTTATTTGGTACACCTGACGGCTGCAGTAGCCTTTTAGTCGTTGTCTCGTGAAAACATTGATAACCACAGCAGTTGTCCAAAATGCTGCCAGCCGGCCATGTGTGGAATAAAGTGTCAAGATTTGACCCCTGGAACGTGCATGAATGGAAAAAGGACGAAGTGGACGATGTTGTCCGCACATTTATTTCGGTATTTGTCCACTCTTAAATCATATGAACTCTCCAGATGTGCTCTGTCAGACTAATGCTTTATTTTAAACAATAGAAAACGAGTTAATTCGAAGCGAGTGGAGGAAACAAGCGTTAAACCTCATTATTACTAAAACGGTTGCATGAATTGTCCTACTTGAGCTACTTCTGTTTTTTTGTTGTTGTTGTTGTTGCTGTTTTTAGACTAATCTTTCAGGAACACAATTGTTATTATTAAATATAACCCAAGTACTTTCAGAATACAGATTTCAACTGAATATTTTATTTATTAATAATGAATTCACTGTGAATACATCTGTAAATATTTTTCACATCATTGTATTTAGAGCCAGTGCAATGAGAGAAGAGATGGGGGGAAAACAAGCTCCCATAACAAAACTCATATTTTCACTTTTTATCAAGTCCTTTTTTTGTTAAATATCTATATTTTTAAATACATTTGGGAGTAATTTGAGGTTTAATGCATACATTTTTGTAAAGATCTTTCATTTTAAAAATGAATAGCTGTCATATGTTTAAGAAAAGCCTGTTTAGCAGAATAACTTCATAAAATAGCACAGAATGAAATAAATTCAAGTAAGGGACGAGTAATTGGTTATGATTAACTGGACAGCATTTTGTTTTGTTTGTAAAATACAGAAAATATTATTGCAATTCTTTTCAACAAAATGTACTTTGGGGCAAAAAGTATTTGGCAGCCACTGATTTTACTAGGTGTCCCACTTGTGTGGTGTGGGTGACTTATTTTATCAATCTATTTGTAGTGGTCTCTAGTAGGAATAAATGCCTTGTAAGTCAATATACTAGTAGCCTGGCAAGCTATACTTAATAAATATCTTAGTTTGGCAATGCTCCATTGACTGTTCTTGGTTGTGGGGCAGTTTCTACCATGTCTTTCAAAGGATCTCCGTATGCAACTGGACAACGAACAAAGTGACGTACTCACCGCAACGGATGCCGGTAAATGAGGCGGTCCGCTGGCAAAAATAAATCCTTTTTTCTAATTAAAGGACTTAAATACATCTATCTGCTCCTGATTCTAATGAAGCCCAAGTCCAAATAGTCCAAAATTGATGTAGAAGTTGTTTCAAATGAGCGGTCGCCATTTTGTTCCACTCTGTCGCATCATCCTGCCCACCAGACCGATTGGCCCACAAAGCTGATAGAACGCTAATGCAGGAGATTAGTGTAGGAGACGTTTTTCATGTTCAGCCTGCATGAAAAACTCACAGTGACCGATTCATTAAAAAAATGTTTTTTTTCAGTCAACCACACCTTTAAAAAGATGAAAGAGTACTTTTCATGAAATGTACACCTCAACTGTGAGAGAAAGATAATGTAAAAAAAATCCTGGAAATCACATTGTATGATTTATTTTGTTTATTTGTATAATGGTGCAAAAAATAAGTATTTAGCACCTACAAACAAGCAAGAATCCCTAACAAACCCATTACTTCACCTGTCTTCTATGCTCTTCTGTCCCCCAATTGCTGCATGTGTTAATGGCAGCTGTTTGAACTTGTTAACTGTATAAAAGACCTCTGTTCACACCTTCAAACAGTTAGACACCAACCTCCACCATGGCCAAGACCAGAGTTGTCTAAGGACTCCAGGGACAAGATTGTACACCTGCACAAGAATCTACAATAGGCAAGCAGTTTGGTGAGAAGAGATCCACTTGGAGCAATTATTAGAAAATGGAATACATGCAGGGTCACTGGACATCTCCATTGACTTGGGGCTCCATGCAAGATCTTAATTAGTGGGGTACAAATGATCTTGAGAACAGCTCAAAACTATATGAGGGGAAATGGTCACTGACCTGAAAAGAGCTGGAACACCCTGCAGCGCCCGTAAGGTCTCCCTTCTTATGCCAGCATGTCCAGGCCTGTCAAATAGAATACAATAGACTTTATTGATCCCACAGAGGGAAAATTCACTTGTTGCTGCAGCACCAACACTGAAGAGAATAATTTGAAGATAAATAAGATTTGCTGGAGGCCATCTGGATGATCAAGAGGAGGACTGGGAGAATGTCATGTGACCAGATGAGTGCAAAATAGAATTATTTGGTATAAACACCAATTGCCATGTTTAGAGGGGCCATAATGCTGAGATGCATCCCAATAGTATCACACCCTGTGTGAAGCATGGGGGTGGAAACATCATGTTTTGTGATGCTCTTCAGTTAAGGGGACGGGCGACTGATCTGTATTAATGAAAGGGATAAAAGGACCATCAACAGTGAGATTCTGGGCAAAAAAATTCCTCCATCAGTAAAGGCACTGAAGCTGAAACGTGGCTGGAAATTCCAGCTACTGTGTCCAAACCTGATGAGGACCTACAGGAAACGTGACCTCTGTCATAAGTATAGAGGTGACATTTTGTTATAGACCAAATACTTATTTTCTGCACCATTGCACAAATAATTTCTTTAAAATCCTCCAATCCTGTCTCTCACAGTTGAAGTGGGACTTCTTGTACAATCGGTGGCTGCCAAATACGTTGTTCCCCACTGTAGCTCTTAGATAGTTTTGACTCTATGTCCCCTATTTCACAGGTGAGCAATCATTGTCCTTAAGGGCTGCTTTCCAGCATGTTTAGGTTTTTCCCTGTTTCGACACACCTGATTTTAGTCATCAGGTGATTAACAGGCTTTTGCAGACCTTGAAGAGCTGCTGAGCATATGAATAAATGTTATGGAGCATGGAAACAAATAAAACATGCTGAACAGCAGCCTTCAACAACCGGAGTTTCCCACTTCTGCCATATATCACTGGCAATCTGTGCTCAGCTTCGTTAGGAATTCTGTGTGTGCAGCTTTAATCTTATATACATACACATACATCGTTTAAGTTCCACCTCTTGCTGATCTAGATGGGGTCTTGAACTCCTTCATTGTTTTTATGAGCATAAATGACCCTACCGTTGACAGATGTTCTATTTGAAACGTTGTTTTTTATGCAGACAGAAGAATGGGTGGTGAAGGATAAAACACCAGAGAACATTATTCAAGTCCTGCGAGTGGGTCAGGCGCTGTTGAAGGTCTCAGGTTTTGTTATTTCTGCACTGATTATTTTTGTGCACATCTGTTAACCGACTACCTTACAGGCACAATTTATTTTAAGAAAAAAAAACATTTCATGTATAGTCCACAGCAGTGTCGAGATGATTTACATGTGTCATTGACTTGCGTCTTGTCTTTTTTCCCACCTGCTAGATTAAAGATCAGCAAGTTACCATTGCAGAAGCATTCTTCGAAGAAAATATGGTTAAGCAAGCCAAAGTTGGTCAGTAAACAAGATATGTTTGCCAGACAAATACTCTCTATGCAAAACCCGAGTTGTTGTTTTTAACCCTTCTGTACCCCAGAGGACGATCTGCTGGAAAAGGTGTCCAGGCTGGAGCAGGAGCTCAGGGTGAGTCCCAGCCCAATGTCAGATGGATCTGTTTGCAGTCACAGCAAAGATGAATGTTCAGTCTGTTAAATTTACAGTTCTACATTTCAGTTCATAAATGAAGTAACGTCTTGAGTTCATTTTGCACGGTTTCCCTTATGTGGCACTATTTAAATCAACGAAAGTAAATTGGAGTTGTTGATGGAAGCCTCAGTGGCTGCAAAGCCAGCCCACATCATCAGCCTCCACCACCCTGCTGACAGCTGGTATGTGCAGTTGGTGCCTATGAGCTGTATCTCATTTTTATCAACAGGAATTTAAAGCTAAGGAAAAATCCATGTTGATCTCATCTGTCTAAAAGACATTGTTGCAAAATTATTTTGGCTTTAGGGCGTTGCTGCCGTGATCTTCCCCTCGGCAGCCCTTTAAAACAAGTTGCACTTTTTCAGTGTTTCTAATCGTCGTGTTGAACCTTTCATTAGTCTGAGATGCAGCTCTTGGGTTTTTACAGTGCCTCTTAGTGTTTTTTTTTGGTCTGATGTCAAGCTGAACTTGCTGACATATACACTTATCTCAGACTGGAAGATGTTGTAAATGTTTTTCACTATAAAACAATTTAAACTCATAAATAATCAGATTCCCAAAAGCTGCTTCCTCCTTGCCATTGTGTTAACACACACTCATATGCTCCAGACCAGCAAACTCCCTAAAACTCCAGCTTTTACTGAGATGGCCACACAGATGACAAGCTACCTTCTGGAATAATTAAGTATGTTTAGTTTTTCAAACAAAGCGTGTAACAAATCTGAAATTGTCATGACAACATAGAGCTAAGCACTCCACCGCTCCTCACCTTCACTTTCCTGATTATAAATCCGCTGCACCTGTGCGCACTCGGCTGCCGCACCCAACAGAAAAATAGAAAGCGCCTCCAAGCTCCACGGACTTTCTCTCCACCTGTGAACAGAGTGGTGTGAACACAGGTGCACAGTGATTTCTACCGAGTAAACGGGCTGTTTTTCTAATCAAAGAGGCTGTTAATCCCTCAAGGATTGAGACAGACAGATCTGGAAGACGGAAGAAACACTCAACAAACAAGTTTATAAATTCGCTATTTTCAACCGCGATGTCATCATCGGGATGCACCATATTCACTGCAACTTAACAACTGATGGATTGCTTAATGTCACCGGATTGCCAATTGAAGAGATTCTTCCGTCACGTAAATGATCTACTAAAATTGAGAACGCGTTTTTCAAACTGCTCATCACTCTGATTTGTTAAACAACCCCTGTCAACTTTTCCTATGCGAGAGTAAAATTCTGCACTCACCTGAAAGCACCGCTTCTCCTTTACGGACAAAGTCAGCTAAATAAACTGCATCTGTGAAATTGCCCAAACCTGATTTTCTTCTGGACTATTACCTCCGTTCATTTCTTGGTCAGACAACTTAATATAAGGGTATATGTCTGGTAATATATTTCCTTGTGTAACAGGAGTTTTTATTTTATTTACCATTGCAACTTGTACGCTGTTTTTTGTTTGTTTGTTTTATCCCATGTGTCAGGAGGGAGACCTGACTGGTGCCCAACGTCCATATTCATTTAGTCAATAAAGCAAAACCTGAAAACCGTTACATAAAATAGTGGCGCCCAACGTGGGGCCCGAACGTATTTGTTTGGTCAGAGAAACAAAATAAAAATGAGCACGCAAGACCATAATGAGGAAATGATGGATTTAATGGGACGGACTACTTCTCCTGCAATTTCTGCAATCAGGTGTACCACAACACGCACTCTTCTGGACATGGAGTTGACAGGGCTGGATTTGCTTGGTCCTCCATTAATTGATCAGCCATCTTCTACTCTCCAGAATTCTTCACCTGCAAGATTACCTCCCACAATACATCCTTGTCCCTCACAAGGTCAGTCTGGAGATCATACACAGAGGTCAGAACTGAAATTGATAATGAAGTATTTAAATCAAAACATGGAGATCAAACTAAGCAAATGGAAACAAAAGTGAAGGAGTTAAAGAACAAACACAGGAAATCTATGGGCACATTGATGCACAATTTGAATACTTCCTGTCGCAAATAAAAGCTTCTTTTGGGTGGAGAATGAAACACCAGCAAACTGAAGTTAACCCCAATCACTGCCAGTATTGCTAACCTGCAAACGGACGTCACCAACCTGCAGAGGGAGCTGACGGATCAAAGACCCACACTAAGACATATGTGTGAGGACATTTCAACAAATGTAAAATCTGTACATCAAGTTCAGCAGGCTATATTAGATCAAAACAACTCAATCCGCATATTACAACTTACCAGATACCACAGATGTCATAAGTAGACCCCGGATGGTGTCTACTGCAAGACCTGTGGCTCAAACTACTACACCTGAGTTTTCTACAATACCTGCAAACCGTAGCCATCTAGGAAAAAGTCCAATAAAGCTACAGTTTCCAACGTATGGGAAGATGGAAGATAACCCCGATCCTCTTCGTTACCTGGAAAGATGTGAAGACTACTTAGCCCTTAATCCTCTAACTGGTGAAGAGCTAATGGCAACCTTGAGGAATGTGTTGTACAGCACAGCTAGAGACTGGTGGGATGTTGCCAGACAAAAAAATTCGAACTTGGACCGAATTTCAAAAAGGCCTCAGATCTGCTTTTCTCACAGAAGACTATGAAGATGAACTAGCTGAAAGAATCAGAACAAGAACACAAGGAGACAATGAAAGCATCAGAGATTTTGCTTATATGTACCAATCCTTGTGTAAACGTTGGAAACCAAAAATCACAGAAGAAGAAATAATAAAACTGATTCTGAAAAATATCAATCCAAACTTGGCTAGTCAACTACGTAGTAGCAGAGTGAGTACTGTAGATGAACTTGTACGGATGGGACAACAACTGGAGAAAGACAGAAATAACAGCATCATTATGAAAGCCGGAAAAAAGAAACTACCTCAACAAAACCATCTTCTTACCGAGCTCCGAATTTGGAGAACACAAGGTCTAGATCACGCAATCAAACGCAGGCATTTTGTTGGCACTGCAAAAGTAACCATTCACCTGCTACCTGCCCACACAACATCGTACCTTTTCACCATCTATCCCTGAAAATCAACCGACTCAACCGATGACTACAGGAATTCCTATTACCTTTGGACCTCCAGAAACCTGTACTACTGTTTCTACCTATAGCAGCCCATTACCGTCACAACTATTAGTATCATTAAACATTGGATCTTGGAAAGGAACAGGAATTCTTGACACTGGTTCTTCATACACCCTCATCAATGAGAATGTATGGTCAAAAATAAACAAAAACATGAACTCTTGGGAAAGAGGACCCCTATACTTGGCCGATGGTAGAAGTCAACAACCACTTGGATGGAGCGACTTGACCATTACAGTGAAGACTCAAGTAATCACATTACCTTGTGTTATTCTACCGACACACAGTCTTGTTTTTTCAGCAGTTCTTGGCCTAGACTTTATCTCTCTCTCTCTCAGGACTACAACTGAATGTAGCAGAACTTAAATATTGGTTTAAGTCGGAACCAGAACAACAGTATGCATTTGGGCAGAACTCATCAATTAACCAGCCCCAACTTGCTCTTTTCACTGCAATAAACCCAGCTCATTCACCAGCTGTTCTGTTGAATAAAAATATTTTCCAAAACATCATTGACAAAGCACACCTTGACGATTTTTGGGAAAAGTTCATTACATTGGCAATTGGAAACAAATTCGGATGTGTGTTCAAACTCACTGGGATGTACGGATGTACTCACACACAAAATCTACTCGTCTAACGATGTACCCATAAAACAAAAACCATACAGAGTCTCGCCCACAAAACTGCAAATAATAAAGGAACATGTATCTGAAATTCTGGAACAAGGAATCATTGAGCCTTCTACTTCCTCATATGCCGCCCCAGTTGTACTGGTACAAAAAAAATGACCCTAAACTACGTTTCTGTGTAGACTACCGCAAACTCAACGCTGCTACCCACACAGACTCGTACCCACTACCAAACATACAAGAAATCCTAGAATCTCTCGCTGGAGCAACCATATTCACCACCTTAGACCTCAATAGTGGATATTGGCAAGTCAAAATGAACCCCACAGACAAAGAGAAAACTGCTTTTGTATGCCCCATTGGATTATACCAATTCCAAGTAATGCCCTTTGGATTGAAGAACGCACCAGCTACTTTCCAAAGGTTGATGGAAATCGTCCTTGGGGAACTCAAAGGAAAAAATTGTTTCGTATATCTTGATGATATCATCATTTACTCTTCCTCCCATACACAACATCAACAGGACATTCAAGCTGTATTGGATAAACTACGTGAAGGTAACTTAACTGTGAATATGGACAAAAGTCAGTTTTTCCGTACACACCTGAAGTTTCTTGGGCACACTGTTTCCTCAGAAGGGATAACTGTGGATGAAGAAAAGAGCAAAGCTGTACAAGACTTCCCTGTTCCAACAAACCTCAAACAGTTACAAAGGTTTCTTGGAATGGCGGGATGGTACCACTGCTTTGTACCTCGATTTTCTCACCTCACTGAACCATTGAATGCACTGAAAAGAAAAGGAAAAAAATTCAATTGGACTCCTCAATGTCAAACATCCTTTGAAACTATTAAACAACTGCTTACCTCTCCTCCTGTATTTGGACATCCAAATTTCAACTTACCTTTCATTGTGTACACAGATGCCAGCGGTGCAGGTCTTGGGGCAGTCTTAGCCCAACAAACTGGGTTAGGTACGGAGCAAGTTCTCGCCTTTGCCAGTCGAACTCTAAACAGAGCAGAAAGAAATTACTCTACGACAGAACAGGAATGTCTCGCTGTGGTATGGGCATTAGAAAAATGGAGATATTACCTGGAAGGAAAACCATTTACTGTAGTAACCGACCATTCTTCATTTATCTGGGTATTCAAAACACAAAAACCAAGCACCAGATTAATCCGATGGGCCCTATATCTACAATAATTCACTTTCACTGTGGAATACAGGAAAGGGAGATACAACACAGTACCAGATGCCCTTTCACGAGCTCCACTCATGGACTCAGAACATTCTTTTTCCTCTTGTGCTGTTGTACTGAGATCAAAACGACACACAGCTGATCCTTTACAAATTACAGATGAAAACATCTGGAGAGAACAACAAACAGACCCCTTTGCCCAAAAATTATATACTGAAATAATGGAAAAAGGTGAAAGAAAGGAGAGTCAAGTAATCACTTATACAGTATTGGAAGACAAGGTTTACCGAGTGGTTAAACTGCCTCACAAAACCACTTATCAAGTCTACATACCGCCTTCTCTCCGATCACAACTTCTATACCACTACCATAATAATCCCTTATCAGGACATTTAGGTAGATATAAAACTTATAAAAGACTGCACCTCTTGTCTTTTGGCCAAAAATGAGTTTAGATGTCAGAGACTATGTGCGCTGTTGCCAAATTTGTCAAGTGTGCAAACCCGAAACCAGAAAGCCTCCTGGTAAGCTTCAACAGCCCACCATAAACAAACCATGGGAAATGCTCGGAGTAGATCTCATGGGCCCCTTTCCTCGCAGCAACAATGGTAACATATACTTGCTAGTATTTGTTGACTATTACAGCCGGTGGGTCAAAATTTTTTCTTTACGGAAAGCCACCGCTGAAGTTGTAGGACAACACTTAATAAAGGAAATATTGACTCGCTGGGGTGTACCTACATACATACTCTCTGATCAAGGACCTCAATTAGTTTCTTCTCTTTATAATGAACTTTGCAAAAAATGGAACGTGACACCTAAAAGAACTTCTGCATATCACCCACAAACGAATTTGACGGAAAGAGTCAATCGCAACATTAAAACCATGTTGGCCTCATATGTAGATGCAAAACACAAAACTTGGGACAAATTCTTACCTGAATTTCATTTTGCCATAAACACCGCCGTTCATGAATCCACTGGAATCACTCCAGCCGAACTGAATACTGGACGCCATCTTCGAGGACCTCTAGATGCCGAACTCAATCCGAAATCTAAGTAATCCCGATACTGCTGCCTATTCTATAAGCAAACACTTGGCTGAACTGCAAAAATTCGCAATAGACCACCTGGAAAAGGCAAAACAGAACCAGAAGAGAAACTATGACAAAAGACACCGTGATGACAAGTACTCCAACCAAGCTCGCGTCTGGATACGCACGCATCATTTATCAAAAGGAGATAAATCGTTCACAGCAAAACTTGCACCTCGATGGAAAGGACCATATCGAGTCATCAAAAAGACTGGGCCTGTAAATTATGAAATTGTGCTGGAAGATACTGGAGAAGACCATAGAATAATCCACGTATCACAAATGAAACCTTGTTATCCTACGGCAAGAGAATGGGACAGGCTACAGAAACAAAAAATCATTAAGATTTTTCAAGAAGACAGTGATGAGGAAGATTTAACTGGATTTCCTCCCATTGATCAAAAATCTTAATGGGAAAAAAAAAAGGAAAAAAATCAAAACCAAATCAAAATGTACACAGACATGGTATTTTGAATTTTCCACCTACCATGCTGGTATTCATGGGGGGGAGGGATGTAACAAATCTGAAATTGTCATGACAACATAGAGCTAAGCACTCCACCGCTCCTCACCTTCACTTTCCTGATTATAAATCCGCTGCACCTGTGCGCACTCGGCTGCCGCACCCTAACAGAAAAATAGAAAGCGCCTCCAAGCTCCACGGACTTTCTCTCCACCTGTGAACAGAGTGGTGTGAACACAGGTGCACAGTGATTTCTACCGAGTAAACGGGCTGTTTTTCTAATCAAAGAGGCTGTTAATCCCTCAAGGATTGAGACAGACAGATCTGGAAGACGGAAGAAACACTCAACAAACAAGTTTATAAATTTGCTATTTTCAACTGCGATGTCATCATCGGGATGCACCATATTCACTGCAACTTAACAACTGATGGATTGCTTAATGTCACCGGATTGCCAATTGAAGATATTCTTCCTTCACGTAAATGATCTACTAAAACTGAGAACGCGTTTTTCAAACTGCTCATCACTCTGATTTGTTAAACGACCCCTGTCAACTTTTCCTATGCGAGAGTAAAATTCTGCACTCACCTGAAAGCACCGCTTCTCCTTTACGGACAAAGTCAGCTAAATAAACTGCATCTGTGAAATTGCCCAAACCTGATTTTCTTCTGGACTATTACCTCCGTTCATTTCTTGGTCAGACAACTTAATATAAGGGTATATGTCTGGTAATATATTTCCTTGTGTAACAGGAGTTTTTATTTTATTTACCATTGCAACTTGTATGCTGTTTTTTGTTTGTTTGTTTTATCCCATGTGTCAGGATGGAGACCTGACTGGCGCCCAACGTCCATATTCATTTAGTCAATAAAGCAAAACCTGAAAACCATTACAAGCTCCTACACTGAGTCAGTTTTTCTTAAATAATAATGACGCGGTCTAATACGTCTCATTTTCTGCAATCAAATAGAATAATCTCCTTTTACATAAAACCTTAGAACTGAATGAGCGTTCTTATCTTACTGGATCTGTTCCTTATTTTGTTTGTGTGGAAAGTCAGGCACAGGAAGATGTTTGTTGTGTCGCTTGTATAAGTACTGCCATGCTTTCCTTGTTACAAAAGAAACGGGACCACTTAGACATGTAAACAACGCTGTTGTGTGTGTGACTGGTAATCACTTTTCATGCTTAGTTATTACCAGTAATAGTGCCAAACCTTTAGCCAATCACTGAGCGTAACCCTGGGATGGGATTGGCTGTAGTGACAAGAGAATGGAGTATCTAAGAAGATTACTGCTAATTCCATACACACTCACAGCAGTTGCTTCTAGTTTCATGCTCATTATTGCTTTGATTGTTTTATCTTCCTAAGGTTGTGAGGATTTACATTACCACTGTTTTCTCTGTAGTGAATGAGTCCTCTGAGAACCTCTAAATGACAGCTAACACACAGTTTGGCTTTGTAAACAGATGGAGGTGATGCAAGACTAAGGGGTTTCCTGGTGGGGGCTGTTTGGGTTTTTGTGTGTCTTGTTTCTGATCCATGAGGCTCAGCATCTCGGCACCGGGCCAGAAAGCCGCCTACTCAGGGATGAGATCCGTGAGCTCGAGGCCCAGCTGGAGCAAAGGGAGAAGGAGCTGACCCAGTTAAAGAGAGAAATGGGAAAGGAAAAGACAACCAAGGAAGAGGTATGAGTGTGCCACCCGTAGTGCTCTCACGTTCTCAGCTAATTAACTGTTTAAAAGATTTATGAGTGTTAGGTTTTACACAACAAAATTATACTCCTTAAAACAATAAGTTATTTTATTTTGACTAAACTCTGGTGTTAAAGGGGCATTATGGAAGTTTGACAGACAAAACATGTAATTTCTTCTTCATACATTCTCCTGCAATGCCCTGGTCCTGTAGAATGAGCCCTGGCATTTTTACTGTGATTGCCTGTTTTTCTGTAAAATCACAGAAAAAGAGAGCTGCTCGGGTCGAGCAGGCTGCTTCATGCGTGTTCACGCTCAGGCATAGCCCTCTGAACCGTTCTTTGAACGTTTTTTCAGCTGTCTTCAGGATATAAATGTTACAGATACAGAAGATGCCACTGGTGATTTAGCTAGCCTAGTAAGATTTCAGACTTTCGTGCAGAAGAGCCGGGTTCGATTCTTGACGTGAACAGGGTTGTTTCAGAATTTATTTTTCACATTAATGGTATATTTTTTTACAGTAAGATGCCCAAATTTTTATTTGAGACTCGCCGAACGGCATTGAATTCACAGATAAAAAAGATGTGGGTTCAACTTTCATTTTGGAACAATTTTTCAAGCAAGGGAAGGGAATGATCTGAGCATGCAGGAGGACTGACCCATCATAAACCTTTGTCGGCTGTGCTGAAGAGAAAGGTACAGAACCAAATTATTTAATTAATTAGCTGCGCGTTCTCCTGTCCTCCGGGCCACACACACACACACACACACACACACACACACACACACACACACACACACACGCACACACACACACACACACACACACACACACACAACTGGGCCGTGTTGCTTCTGTCTGTGGACTCATCTACAGCAATAGACATAACGGGAGCTTTTTCAAGATCTTTCACAAGGGACTGTCAGCTTCACAGAGCTTCGTCTCAGCTGTTATTTTCATTAACCCCCAAATTCCACTACCTCCGCTCCGCTCCGCCCCCGCCTTCCGCAGCCGCTCGCTTCCGAACTCAATTTTTACTGGTACCCGCTCTACAACGGCTCCGCTCCGGTGCGGAGACCTGAGGTGGGCAAACAGGCGTGCGCGGGATTTTCGAGATCTTGCGATACAGTCCGAGCAATAAACGCGGAAGTTAGATCCAAACACCCGTTGTGTGGGAGAAGCATCGGCATGAACTGTTTAATCTGTCCATCATTTGTGTTGAGAGATCAGCAGTGTTTGGATCAACAAAGTGTGACTACTTTGATAGTGGAAACTGTATTTATGGCTTACTTTTGTGCATTTAAAGTTCAGCTGCCATTGATAGTTGTTAAAGGTTGTTCAACCTGTGCATATGAAGCAAAAAACGCTTTTTGTTTATCGATTTATTGTGAAAAACTGAAGTTGTGCTTGCTCCTTTTCCTGTTGGGCGGTTGTGATTTCTGTCCATTTACTGCGAAGGTGCTCCGGCATCCGGCAAAAATAGGATCGATTCTATTTTTGCCGGACGCCGGAACAGAGGGCGGCGCACTGCGCCGCACTGCCGGAGCACAGCCGGAGCACAGCCGGAGCAGAGCCGCAGGAGTGGAATTGCTCTGATTGACTACAACGGGACCGATTTTGCTCCGGAGTTCGTGCCGGAGCGGAGGTAGTGGAATTTGGGGGTAAGGAGTGTGCACGTACAGCATGCGCGCCTCGTTCACGAGCCTCCTATTGAAGCTGCCGTTACGCTTTTGGCCAGAGGGGGCAATCGCGAGCATAAAATTTCAAAACTCCCTAAAGTCCCTTTAAGCATGAACTGGTTTAGAAGAGGGACAACCATGAAAATGTTCATTGCACAGCCAAATTACTATTGTAGTTGCACTAAATATATTAGTCATTGTCTGCATTAATATCCCAAAGTTTTTGTTCATTAATCCTCATTTTAATACAGGGGTGTGAGTGCACATTATTAAAAGACAGTGTGGGGTTTGTGTTTTGGTGTGTTTTTTAGCTAATCGTGCGCCTGGAGGAGGCCAAGGACGAGGTGAAGAAGCTAAAAAGAGAGGTACTTAACAGACATCATCCTTCTGTTTCCACTGTAACTTTATTTCAGTCCTGAATAGTTTAATGAGCTTTTCCTTTCTGTTTTCTCATATTTTTATCTGTTTCTGTACTGTTGGATAGTTGAAAAAAAATAAAAAGAAGGTAAGAAATGTAGGAAGTTTAGTGAGGTAAGAGTAGTGGGTGTAGAATAAATGTTTGTTGAAATTTATATTGTTTAAATACAAATGTACTGTAGTTTTGTGTTTATTTTTTCCTGTAGAATTATTTTGAAAAGCAACAACATAACAAATAAAAGTCCTATTACTCCTCACAATAGTCAGTGTCATCCACCACCTTTCATCCTTTATTTGGAAGTGATGGAGGTACAGTTGCTTTGGTCAAATCTAAAATCTCATAGAAAATTGCAAATTCTTAAGCCTTCTGTTTCCACCCAGTTAGTTTTCTGATCAATAATCAGCTATTACATCATCAAGCTTTAGCTCAACTGTCAGAGTGTGTTGTGGATTTGGATTGTCATGTTTAAACAGGGAAGTCGGTGTTTTACAGCTGTTTAATTATCATGCCAAATTATCCTGGTATCAAACCACTCACCTCCTGATCAGCGGACAGCCGCTGTTCCCATTGAGACAAAGCTACTCCATATGAAAGTGGATCAGTTGTAAATGGAGTTCGATAAAATCCATCCACGGGTTCATCAGATATCTTGATAACTGGGTTGAGTCCCAACAGTTTAATACCAAAGGTTTAGGCAAAGATCTTGTGAAATGTTTATCACCCAGAATATGTGCTGTGAGCAAATCTGCTGTTGTGATTCAATTCAATTCAGAAATCACGACCAGAGTCGTCTCAAGGCACTTCATGCAGTAAACATTCCAATAGAGTTCAGTTCATTAAGCCAATCAGTAAAAAATTTCCTATATAAGGAACCCTCTCAATTAGCAAACAATTTGCATAAAGTCACTGTCACAGCAATCTTCATATTAAGCAAGCATGTAGTGGCAGTGGAGAGGAAAACTCCCTTTTAACAAGAAGAAACCTCCAGAGGATCCTGGCTCAGTATAGGGAGCCTAGGTCACGCCCATCTACTTCCGCATCATGGGTCCGCGGAAGAACGAAAAAATTAATGCAATTCAGCGGGGCTAAAAACGCTATTTTCCATTTCCACTTGCTATGTTCCATGGATTTTACATATGATGTCCATGAATTTTAAAGAAGCTTTTTGATACCAAGAAGGCGTTTATTTTCGAACAGGTGGAACGATATTTTAGGTTTTGTGTGAAAATAAGTCCAGGACTACAAATGTGCTTCACGAAAGTGACGTCATTGAACCAGACACGGAGAAAAACGGGGAAAATGGCTGTAAGTTTAGCAAACGTCAAACCCTTCCTTCAGGTGGAATTAACCACAGTAAATCTGGCCATGTGGTAAGTAGCAGCTATGCTAGGGGGGGGGGGGGGGGATATTATGTGGTGACGTACATATGCGACATGCCGATGTAGTCATGCTAATTACGAACTTTTACAAGCAGATAAATCTCAAAGTACATGACAGGCGTGGTTGATACACCCATCACTACTTTTCATTTAAATTGCAGTACAACATATGTGCGATCCAGGGTCTAAGGCAAAGTGGATTAGAAAATTTTTAGCCCTGTTGACTTGCATTGACTTTTTAATTCTTCCGGGGACCCATGAGTCGACCGGAAAGGGAGGAGACAGACACACACAACATACAAACCAAGTAGTATTTTTATGGCTACATTGTGATTTGTTAGTAAATATTCTATTAAGTAAGATATTAACTTTATTATCTTTATCTTAGTGAATCTATAATCAATTCAGCAGGTAAACTAGTAGTAGCACATCCAACGTCAAGGAAAGCAAAAAGTTATCAGGAGAGGGAGAATGTTTAAGTGGTTAGCAGCAGCGTGCTAGACGATGGCCCCCTCCATGAGGCCACCACAGCTCAGCAGAACATCGTTGTAGCTTCTTCTGGGGATATAAACACTTAGAGAAAAAATAAAGTTAACAGCTGAAATAGCAGGAAATAATACAGTTAAAGAGCAGAAGAAAGCAGTAGAGTATGGAAAGTGGTCAGTGTATCCTCCAGCAGTCTAAGCCTATAGCAGCATAACTACAGAGATAACTCTGGATAACCTAGCCTTTTAGATGGAGGCATGTTGGAGTCAGGGCAAGGGAGAGCCGTCTTTACCGACTGTATTATCCACCTCCCTCTACTCCCCCACTTGTCCAGATCTGGGCTAACATCAGAATTTGATCATGTGACACCAAACTTTAGCTCAGCATCTATTAAATGAGGCTAAGGTATGAGTGTTTTAGCATTTTCCTTCCATGAAAAACCTCTGCTAGCATTTGTGCTTTTATCAGTGTTACCATGACCCTGTGTTTCTCTGAAAGAAACCAAAGCTGACATCCTGAACCACCAGATCACAGAGTCAGAAGGCTGAAATATGACTGAAAACAGTTCTTCAATGTCCAATCTGCCAATCCTCCTGAAATTAATTCCATCCTTTCTGTATGGCATCAGAATGAGCAGCTCCAGCAGGATGTTGACTTCTATCGCAGTGAGCTGGATCAGAGGGAGCCGCTCTCCTCCAGAGACGAGAACGCTGAGACTCAGAGGAAGCTCACCTTGGCCAACCGCCAGCTTTACCAGTACTTGGAAGACCTTCAGGTTTTTTTTCGTATTTGTTAACATTCTCATCTGCTGAATGAGGCAACAGGTGAATTATTCATCAGTCCTGACTGTAGTGTCATACTTAAGAATTTAGTGATCACTTAAAAGTTAAGGTCCCTGGCAACAAAGTTGTTCCTAAACTGCACACTGCCAAAATGTGCAAGATCAGTGCTGTTTTCATGGAGTAATTGTCTGCTTTATGGCTTCTCTTTATGGCTTTTGTCAGCTTTTATTACCTGCTCTTTCCACTGCTGATTTGCAACATGTGTTAATTTTCTAGGTATGCATCCACAAATGTAATTTACTGTATTATTTGTGTCCAAAAGCGAGTTGAAGATGAGAATGCACACCTGAAGACACAGAATGAGCAAATGCAGAAGAGCCTGGAGGAATCTGTAAAGGAGATGGAGAAGATGACAGATGAGTACAACAAGATGAAGATTGTTGTGCAGCAGACTGACTCGATTATGGACCAGCTCAGGAAAGAGAGGGATCACACAAAACTTCAAGTAAAGACTGCTTTTTGTTATTTTATGTCTGTATTCTGACTCCATCCTAAGGCTGTTGGTAGTAAGGGAAATATGTTTTTGTGCTGAGATGGGTCGTCTGATAAATTTATTCTTCCTCAGTAATGTTTTTGCACAGAAAAAGGGGAAAATCATCACAAAAGATGTTAAATCTACTTGACTTTTCCTTGTTTTAAATACGTGTGTGATGCAAGATATTAAAGCAGGCCCCTGAGAGTGTGCTTTTTCTTTTAATTGGTTTGCAGGTTAGAGAGTTAACCGACAAGATTCATAACATGACTGAAGAAAATGACCCAATTATGGCAGCAGTCAACACCAAAGTGGAGGAGTGGAAGGTAAGCTTTAAATGTAGGCAACTGTGAAAGCTCACCCTTTTATTTTTCTCTTTCTTTCATCCAGTTATGCTCAAGAGTTATGGCTTTCAAGCATAATTTGAGCATGTTTCCCGATAGATATTATTCTGGTGTGCTTTTACGAAGTGTTTCGATTGTTTGAACTCATAGGGGAGCCCATGGAAGCTGCTTTCATCTCAGAAACTTCACTCTCAGCTCAATGACCATCAGACCAGATAGTGATAGCATGAGGGCAGAGACCAGAAAACTGAGGGTCCCATCATTTAGGATGCTTGATTTTTTAAACGTGATTTGCTAACTTTGTGATTCATCCATTGAAAATGGGTTCAGTAGGTTTCATTATGATGGTGGAAGTTTTCTAATGCTGTGTCACAGATCATCTGAAACAGGTTCATTTCCACTAACATGCTTGGACAACATAAACAAAGCCAAGTTTAGTCATGGAGCTGTTGTTACAGGATACACTGGATTTGTCTGGTGAAATAAAGTCAGACGTAGGTGGTAACCAGGAATAAAACTTGTAGGAACGTGGCATAAAAAACTGTTGTTTTGGCAATACAAGAGAAAGAAACAGGAGAATCTTTCCAGTTGGGTCTAAACAACGGATTGCTTCTCATACTTTACTATTTTGGGTCCAAGAAGTGATTTTTGTTTCTTTTATACAAAATATATAAAATAAAACACTTAAAGCGAGCATTAAACAGTTTGGAAAATGGGAAAAATATTTTTTATTCCCCCTTGAACTGCCACCATACAATGGTGGAGGAGACTGAGTGCCAGGATAATCCTAGGACAGGGGTTGGCAGCCTTTTCCCATCAAAGAGCCGTTATTACCCTTTTCCCACAGTAAAGAAAACACTGGGAGCCCCAGCAGCTGCGGCGTTGTGGATGGGCCTACCGGGCCTGGGCCCACCCAGATGTGAATGCGCCTTAAAGTTTTGCTGGGGGACTTCAATGTCCAATGAGAGTGTGACCTGGAAGGCCGTTATTGGGAGAAACAGCCCACCTGACCCCATACTGTATAGAGCGGTGTTCTCTTATTGGATATCTGTGCTGGTCACAGACCTTAACCCAAAGGGTTAGTTATTAGTTATCAGCGTGAGGAACTTATTTATACCTTATTTATAAACTATGTATTTACAAGTCCATCAGTTAATGTAATAATTGTGCCAACCACAGCTGCACCCCCCAACCCGGTTTCACAGCAATCAGTGGCAAGCTGCACGTGTGTTTTGCGTGCCGCACGCGCACATTTAGCCGTTTTTAGCGGCTCAGGAGTCCGCAGGTGGGGTGTGTGTGTCACTCACTCTGGTTACTCCAACAGGGAGCCGGCTCCGAGAGTCGTTTCTGTAGCGACCGACACATCACTGCATCGTTCCCTTTCTAAGGTCCTGAAGAACGGTCCGGAGCGCAGGCGGAGTGTTTAGCTAACCTGCAGGAAATGTCGACGACAGTTATCCAGAAAGTAGCTAAGGGTTACCAGAGATGTTTCTGAGGTGTTCGCTAGGTACTTTTAAGATTTAAAAAGTCAAGAAGGGGGTCTGAAACGCCGTTGGAAATAGCGTCGAAGTTGCCAAGTTGGCAACACTGTGGGAGGAGCGCTTCAGTTGCAACTCAGGGCAGCGCAAGCGGGAGAAGCAAATAATCGTCTTGTTTTGTTTGTATAATCGTTCAAAACTCAGATCGTAATTGTGATTAAAATTCAATTAATTGAGCAGCCCTATCTATATGGAGGAAGTGGAAACACTGAACAAGTATTAAACTCCTACAACAAAACAATACCATGTCACTGGTTCAGGTATGTAGATGACATTTGGGTCAAAATTCTCAGGCAGTAAGTAGAAGGCTTCACCAGGCACATTAATGCCGTGGACAAGAACATCAAGTTCACCAGGGAGGAGGCACACAGCAACAAACTTCCCGTTTTGGACTGTGCTGGGACACATTTTTGAAGATGACGAAGCACACATTCTTGACAGAAATATATATGGTCTGAAAGAAGAGTGAAATAAGCTATTTATCAGTGCGTTTACATGCACATCAGAAAACCAAAGTATTGCCCTGAAAAGACTCACGTTCATTTTTTGTTATTGCATGTAAATGTATTAGTCTGGCTGAAGGTGAACTGGTTCTAATCAAGCTGAAGCATCCAGATACGTAATGCGATAGCTTTATGATTACATTCTGCATGTAAATAGGTCATCCGAACTGAACCGCTCACGTTCAGCAACTTAAGTAAAACCATAAAACAGGACAGTTGCACCAAATAAGCTGTGCTGCAGCATTGTCTTGCATTCCTTCAGCCATTGTGCATATCCTGACTCTTCAATTGCTACCGAGTGTCTTCTCCTCTCTAATACACCCACTTCACTCCCATTAAGTCCAGCCAGATTCCCATAGTCAGTGGCTAGTGGTCGTGGTCTCTACTCGCCATCTCCACCACTACATCTCGGAGTCCACAGACCAACAGGCTCTGCCATGTCCACGGCTCACGTCAACCCTCATTTGCATGTGGATTGCTGACCAAGAACTTAATCACCACTGTGGTCCGCGAGCAGTCTTAAAGAATCTGTCCGAATGGTCTTTAACTATACCTTTGGCAGAGTTTTGATCACATCCAGGGAGCATTGGGGACAATAGCTGTGTTTCCATTGCCGGAACTTCAGGGTAAAATCTGGGACAGGGTAATCGACCGGGTGATACGATGTCTCACTCTTCTCAGTTGTTGTGTCTCCATGCAAATTCAGCCCTTTCAGAACTTTGCACAGACGTCAGCAAATCACGACTGCTTTGGCAGTGAGTAATGTCATTGATCAGCGCCAAAAAGCGTCCACAGTACCGTTAATAACATTAAAGGCATAGCTCGACACGCCATGTTTTCTTTCTCCAGTGGTGAAGGCTGAGCTGGAAAGTCACTACTGCGCATGCGCCTCGGAGCTAAAGCGGTAGCTTAACAGAAAGGCAAAAAGCAATCGCCGAACTCAGTCATTGAGCAGCGGCCTATGGTGTCCTGGTGCCAAAAGCACATATGGACATCTTTATGTCTGAACATGGTGTTCATTATGGACAAACCATGACTAGCACAGAAGTCCAATAACAAAATGCAGCTCAAATTCAGATTGGGGGGTCGTTCCTTCCAACCACACCTCTTCAGGTTTCACTGTCATTGCCAACATGAGCGTTAAAGTCCCCCAGCAGAACAAGGAAGTCACTGGAAGGATCACTCTCCAGCACCACCTCCAAGGTCTTCAAAAAGGGTTGGTAGTCTGGGCTGTACTTTGGTGCATAAGCTCAAACCACAGTCAGGACCCCACACTAGGGCGGAGGGAGGCTACCCTCTCGTTCACCAAGGTAAATCCCAATGTACAGGCACTAAGATGGGGGCAACTAGTATGTCCACCCCTGCTTGGCACCTCTCAGTGGGAGCAACTCCAGAGTGTTAGATTGTCCAACCCCTCTCAAGGAAACTGGTTCCAGAGCCATGCATTGAGATGACTCCAACTATATCTATTCTGAACTTCTCAACCTCGCACAGCAACTTCCCCACCAAAGAGGTGACATTCCACATGCCAAGAGCCAGCTTCTATAGCCAAGGATCAGATCGCCAAGGTCCCCGCCTTCGGCTACCACTTGTCCCACACTGCACCTGACCCCTTTGGCCCTTCCCATGAGTGGTGAGCTTGTGGGAAGGGGGGCCAAGGTATCCTCTTCGGGCTTTGCCCGGCTGGGCTCATAGGTAAAAGCCCGGCCACCAGGTGCTCGCCAGTGTGCCCCACCTCGAGGCCTGGCTCCACAGGGAGGCCCCGGTGACTCGCGCCCAGACAAGGGTACACTTTTTGCATGTCTATTTTTCATCATAATAGGTCTTTGAGCTGCTCTTTGTCTAATCCCTCACCTAGAGCCTGTTTGCAATGGATGACCCTACCTGAGGCATGATGCCTCGGATAACTTAGCTCCTAGGATCATTGGGACACTCAAACACCTCCGTGACGGTAAGGTGGCAGTCCAGGGAGGGTAAAAACAGATAAAACAGAGATAATAAAAATGTAAATACCATATTATATAAAAACCTAAAGATAAAAATGAGTCTTCAAGTGACTCTTAAAGACCTGTAGTGATGGTGACTGTTTGATAGCAAGTGGTAGCTCATTAAAGAGTAGGAGTCAAGACAGCAAAAGCCTGATCAGCCCTGGACCTTTACCTAGATTGTAGGGCAGTCAGCAGCTCCTGCTCAGCCGAGCACAGGGAGCATGAAGGGGTATGCCGTTGTAGTAACCCAGCCAGGTACAGTGTGACACTATGATGAAGAGACCGGAAGACATACAACAGAATTTTAAACTTGGCCCAATAACCTACTGAGGGCCAGTGTAGTGAAGTCAGCACATGTGTATAAATATGCGATTTTCCTTGTTGCTGTCTGGAATCTAGCTACCAAATTCTGAACCAGATGTAACTGTTTCAATGCTGCCTGATTAAGCCCAGCATGTGGCTTATTACAATAATCAAGCCTGGATAAAACAAATGCATGCATAACAGACTTAAGATGTGCTCTAGACAGCATTGGCTTGATTTTGGCCAACCGTCGCAAGTGAAAGAAGCAGGCTTTCACAGCCATGCTGATGTGGGAATCAAATTTGAGTTCTGAATCTAGTCTCACAGTTACTTGGGGTAACACGTTTCCCCTGTCTGGAGGCCAGGTTCATCCTTAGAGATTGGGTGAAAAGCACTGACATTTGTGAGAGACAGAGTAAAGCCAAGAGGAGCCAGCTGAGATGGTTTGGGCAATTGGTAAGGGTGCATCCTTGATGCCTCTCGGGAGAGGTGTTTCAGGCAGGTCCAGTCAGCAGGAGGCCCCTTATTCATCCCTGGACATATTGGAGGAATTAACTCCACATTGGCCAGAGATTGCCTGGGAATCTTGCCAGTGAAAGTGATGTAAGTTTGGGCCTCTGCTACCTCGTAACCCAGACTCAGAGAAGCAGGTGAAAACAGAAGTCTCTGAAGTCTGCTCGTCTAGATTCTAGACTGCAGAATTTCTTCAGATATGGTGTTCCTCCCTTCTTAGTGGTTATGAAATATGGTGACATGATGCTTTTCTCACACAGAGGGTGCTCTCCATGAAGGATGAAGAACTTCTGGTGTATCAGCAGATGATCCATGACCTGAGGGAGAAGTTGCGCTCTGCCCAGCTGGACTTGGACAAAAGCAACGTTATTGCTTTGCAGCAGGTCTGTTCTAAATAAGAAAGACTAAAACCTTGCTATTTGATTCTTCTGACCCCTGATGTTTTAGGTTTGTGAGGTTCCTCCTCAATGAATCTCCTCAGTGAGCAGACCCCCATTCCCCTGATACCTTTACTCCCAGGGCAGGGCCTGCAGGACACTCTTTTAACTTTTTCATAGATAAACTCCAACAACTATGATGCAAAAGCTTCAGTTGACTTGATTTTATATTTCATATAGCAAAGAGGTGATACACTGAATCCACTCTGACACCACTTACCAGGTTTTAAAAGTCCCAAAGTAATGAGACTGATTTTGGTATTTGTTCATACAAAGTGTTTTCCCCCCTGCCTTTTAGCCTAATGTGTAACCATGTATGAACAGGCTGGATTGTTTCAAAGTTTGGTACCATGTTTCCAAGAGGCCTTTAAAGTTCACAAAGATGGTAAATGGCTTGTATTTGTTTATTGCCTTCTTGTAGTTCTACAACCCCCCAAGGCGCTTCATTCACACACACATTCATACGCTGGTTGTGATGAGCTACGATGTAGCCACAGCTGCCCTGGGACGCACTGACAGAGGCAATGTCTGCTGAATACAGGCGCCACCGGTCGCTCCGACCACCACCAGCAGGCAAGTCGGATTAAGTGTCTTGCCCAAGGACACAACAGCAGCATTCTCTGGATGGAGCCAGAATCGAACCTGCAACCTTCCATTTACTGGACAAAATTGATTAATTTTATTCCATAAAAACTTATTAATGAATCCAGATTTTTCACACTGGGTCTTAAACACCACAGAGTCAGTCTGCTCATCTTCTAAACATGGTTTATTTTAGTTTAGGGACTTAAAGTAGAAGGTTTTGTACAAGGTCATAAATGTAGGGTGTCAGGACACTTAACCCACCTTGTCTGCTGATGGTGGTCAGGGACCCGTGGCGCCAGTATTTGAACGGCCTTACTTCTGTCAGTGGGCAGCTGTGGCTACATCGTAGCTCATCCCCACCAGCGAGTGAATGTGTTTGTGAATGGGTGAACGACTGAGTGTGTTGTGAGGCGCCTTGGGGGGGTTTAGAACCCTAAGAAGGCGCTATACAAAAATGAGCCATTTACAAATACAGAAACAAAAGAAAAGAAAGAAATTGATCTTTTATATGGCGCTTCTCAAGATAAAAATCACAAAGTGCTTCACAAAAACATAAATTACAGTATAAAAATATTTATAAAATAATTACAAATATTTTTAAAAGGAGAAAGGAAAAAATATGTAAGGAAAAGGAGATAGAAAATGAATTGGAAAGAGGGAAATCAATAGATCCCGGGAAAGGCGGCATAAGAACAGAATAAGGAGAGGGTGGTGACGAAGGTCATGCAAAAACCAGCTTGAACAGGTGAGTTTTCAGCTGCTTTTTAAGGAGATGGTCATGAATATAGTCAAATTATTATTTCAGGGTGACAAGATCTGGAGACTGTTAGATTAAAATCAAGAATATTTTGTTTTGCCAAAAAAAACTCATACATGATTAATTTACTCATCTGCATACAGAGTAAAATATGTAACTGCAATTGACGGCTCCCGGTTGTGGGGTGGATTCTACCATTGTCTTTTAAATGATCTCCACATGCTACTAGACAGTAAACAATATGACTTAATCACCGCAACGGATGTCGGTCAATGAGGCAGTCGGCTGTTGAAGAAGGCAAAAATACATCCTTTTTGTAAATAAAGGACTTAATTACATCTGTCTGCTCCATAATGGCATCTTGATTGACCCACAATTGTAGACCAATCACAGCGCTCTATCGGTATGAAACCCCGATAGAGAGCTGCAATTGGTCTATCAGAATGCTGCTAGGGGCAGCGAAGGTTTCACTGGAGCGTTCCTAGACCAAACTTTGCAAAGCAAGAGTTTAGTCTAGTTCACTAGGCTAGAAAGCTCTTGCTCTAAATCACATTTTTGCAGATTTTAAACCACAATTAGCTAGTTCCACCACTGTGGAAAAATCAAAGAACCAAACACCCTGAAAACATGGTCAGTAACAATCTTACCAGAACTTGTAGGACTCATCTGGGTGATGTTACGGAGCCTGTCTCTAGTGGCCATCTGGGATAGTTGGGACTTTTCTACTAGCCTGGCCTGCCAGACTCGACCGCTGTTTAATTCTGCACAGAGAATGAGTCTTGTAACTCACTGGCAGAGAGCACTTGAGGGGCGGGACTAGCCAGCTCAAAAATAACCAATCAGAAAAAAGACAGAAGCGCGACGCTGTACTTTTTTACGCCGTAGTCAAAAATGGGGTCTGGCAACGGCGTAAACATCTTTTATTTTTTAGAGAAAAGGCTTTTAGCGCTTCTACTTGTTGTGGTTTTAAAGACATGTTCAAGTCATTTGGAACAGAGGAAAGAGCTGCAGCGAACTCCGCTTCAGTCGCCATGTTTATGACTAACTCGGCGTTATGGTGTGTGATGTACGATACTCAGCGCTGATTGGCTCGGTTAGAATTCTCAGGGGGCGGGGTTATTTGAATAGAAGAGCTCCCAGAAACCTTTCTCTGTGCAGAATTAAACAGAGGAGGAGTGTGGCAGGCCAGGCTTCTTTTCTACAGCAGTTGTAATCTGAATATGTTCATCCTTTATATCTAGGTGATTGTTGCTGTCATGTATACATTTTTAAAGTGTCTTTAAAACAATTCATTGAATTCATGTAAATTCATGATAAAAGAGAAATGATTACAGCTTAAAGTTAAATCTAACATGACTGTTTATCTGTTCATTTGCTTAAATGTCTTTTTGCTCTTTTGGCTTTCCTTTTTCTTTTTGCTTTTTCTTACCTTTTTGTTTCTCACCAACCTGTCCACCCTTTCATCTGTCTCGCTGCTCGAGGCCAGGTCATACATGAGCTCTGCGGTGTAAGTCTCATCCATGTGTCTCTTCATCCTTAGACTCTTCTTGTTTTCTTTTTATATGTTTACCTATTTTTGAAAGTATGGGTAATTTAGTGGGTCACAGCTGTGTTTAGTGTTGAGCATAAATTCTCATTATTTGGAAATGTTGGTGAATTCTCTAAAGGCTGTCCAGGAGCGAGATAGTCAAATCAAGATGCTGAGCGAGCAGGTGGAGCAGTACACAGGAGAGATGGAACAACAAGCCCGGCTCATCGAGGAGCTCAAGACATCCACGAGCAAAGAAAGAGGTTGGTGGAGCCCTTCTGACCATGACTATTTGTTAATAATACTTCATATACAAGGTGTTTCTTTACCTTTTACCATTTCATGGAGAACATCAGTGGAACCAAATAGCCAGAAAATGGTACCAATGTTTTAAGGTGTTTCCTGAAACTAGGACATTAGGCAGAATAAAACAAACTGGGAATGGGTAGTGGCCCTAAGATGAGTTTATAGTCATGAAAGCATATTTGGTTTCATTAAAAATGCCTGTCATGAATGCAATAACTGGCAAGCTATTTGTTTCAGGGCTTACCTTTTTGGTTTAGGCTGACTGCTGACTTGTTGTCATGCTCTGCCACACCTGTTTCTACTTGAAAGACTTAAATAGTAAAAAGCCAGATGTTTCCTTAGAAGGTGGTGGAAACCCAAACACAGTTGTCAAGACGACATATTGGAGTTGAAGTGCTTGTTGAAGGTGAACCACATTAATGCTAATGCCCTGCATGATGAATATGTAAGCAATTCTCTGATGTGTTGACTTAAAATAGTGGCAACGTGACTCAAGACTAACCCCAATAATATAAAAATGCTTTCAGTTGCCAAAAGGTTGAAAAAAAATCGGCCACTTTAAAACTGGAGTGTTGGCTCCAAAGTCTTCTTTTCATTCATCTATTTAGGTGTTATGTTCGTCAGCGGTTATAAATCAATGTGGAAGATTTGCAGTGCTCTGCATAAATGCGTAAACCCCCTTTAAAATTACAAATTTAATCAGTAGCTCAATGAACAAAAGAAACATTTCCAAAAATTTCAGAAGGCTGGGTTTTATTGAACACTTGTTTAACTCTAGAACATGAAATTAAGGTTAATAAAATAATTTAGATTCCAAAATCTTAAGTTATTCTAAAATTGGTTGAATCACAAATGAATACACCCCACAACAAAACTACTACATCTAGTATTTTGCATGACCACCATGATTTTCAAGGACAGCACAAAGTCTTCTAGGAATGAAATGAACAAGTTAGCGATATATTGCAACATTTACCCTTTTCCATTCTCCAAGAATAACCTCTTTTAGAGCCTGGATGGAGAGTGATGCTCAGCTTGCTGCTTCGGAGTTGCCTACAGGTGTTTGATTGGGTTCAGATCAGGAAGCAAAATCTCGGGCGTGGGAGGAGTTTGGTGAGGCCATGGAGAAAGACTATCGATCGGCTCCAAAGAGGTTCTGGCAAACTGTCCGGCGCCTCAGGAGAGGAAGGCAGCAACTCGCTCACACTGTTTACAGTGGGGATGGGGAGCTGCTGACGTCAACTGAGGCTATAGTCGGACGGTGGAAGGAATACTTTGAGGAGCTCCTCAATCCCACCAATGCGCATTCCGAGGAGGAACCAGAGCTGGGAGGCCTGGGGATGGACTGTCCGATCTCGGGGGCAGAAGTTGCTGAGGTAGTCAAACAACTACACAGCGGCGGAGCCCCGGGGGCGGATGAGGTTCGTCCTGGGTATCTCAAGGCTATGGATGTTGTAGGGCTGTCATGGTTGACACGTCTCTACAACATTGCGTGGTCATCGGGGGCAGTTCCTAGGGAGTGGCAGACCGGGGTGGTGGTCCCCATCTTTAAGAAGGGTGACCTGAGGGTGTGTTCCAACTATAGGGGGATCACACTCCTCAGCCTCCCTGGAAAGGTCTACGCCAAGGTACTGGAGAGGAGGGTCCGATCGATAGTTGAATCTCAGATAGAGGAGGAGCAATGTGGTTTTCGTCCTGGCCGTGGAACTGTGGACCAGCTCTATACCCTTGCAAGGGTGATGGAGGGGGCATGGGAGTTTGCCCAACCAATCCACATGTGCTTTGTGGATTTGGAGAAGGCTTATGACCGTGTCCCCAGGGGCACCCTGTGGGGGACGCTCCAGGAGTATGGGGTGGGTGGCTTTCTGTTAAGGGCCATTCAGTCCCTTTACCAGAGGAGCGTGAGTTTGGTCCGCATAGCCGGTAGTAAGTCGGACCTGTTCCCAGTGAGGGTTGGACTCCGCCATGGCTGCCCTTTGTCACCGGTTCTGTTCATCACTTTTATGGACAGAATTTCTAGACGCAGCCGTGGTGTGGAGTGTGTCGAGTTTGGTGGCAGGAGAATCTCGTCTCTGCTTTTTGCGGATGATGTGGTCCTCCTAGCTTCATCCAGCTCTGACCTTCAGCTCTTGCTGGGTAGGTTCGCGGCCGAATGTGAAGCGGCTGGGATGAGGATCAGCACCTCCAAATCTGAGACCATGGTTCTCGACCGGAAAAGGGTGGCTTGCCACCTCCGGGTCGGGGGAGAGGTCCTACCTCAAGTGGAGGAGTTTAAGTATCTCGGGGTCTTGTTCACGAGTGAGGGTAGGAGGGATCGGGAGATCGACAGGCGGATTGGTTCGGCGTCTGCAGTGATGCGGACGCTGAGCCGATCTGTCGTGGGGAAGAGGGAGCTGAGCCAGAAGGCCAGGCTCTCGATTTACCGATCGATCTACGTCCCAATCCTCACCTATGGTCATGAGCTTTGGGTAATGACCGAAAGAATGAGATCGCGGATACAAGCGGCCGAAATGAGTTTCCTCCGTAGGGTGGCCGGGCTCAGCCTTAGAGATAGGGTGAGGAGCTCGGACATTCGGGAGGGACTCGGAGTAGAACCGCTGCTCCTCCGGATCGAAAGGAGCCAGTTGAGGTGGTTTGGGCATCTGGTCAGGATGCCTCCTGGATGCCTCCCCGGGGAGGTGTTTCGGGAATGTCCTGCCGGCAGAAGGCCCCCGGGTCGACCCAGGACACGTTGGAGAGGTTACATCTCCAATCTGGTCCGGGAACGCCTTGGGGTCCTGCCGGAGGAGCTGGTGGACAAGGCCGGGGAGAGGACGGCCTGGAGCTCCCTAGTTGGGATGCTGCCCCCGCGACCCGGACCCGGATAAGCGGAGGAAGACGAAGACGAAGAGACAGATCAGGAGACACACTTGGCCATTCAATCACCTTCACACTGCTCTTCTTCAGAAATGCAACAGTAGCTTTAGATGTGTTCTGGATCATTGGCACTTTTTTGTTGATAAGGTTACAGCTATTCGAGCTGCCATTACAAACTCACCACCTGACTCCCTACTCCTAGAGCCGCTCAAGGCTACACTGGTAACATTTGAGACTGTATCATTTTTTTTTTATTCCACGAAAATCAGCCAAATCCACATTAATCTGGGTGCTAACTTTAAGAACCATAAATCAAACTTTTGGGAAGATGGCGGGAGTGCAGGCTGGTGGCTCTTCAGCTCCAGCAGGCTTGAAAGCCTTTGGTGGACCCAGAGCTAAACCAGTGATTTATAACACTTCTGACGGCAAGACTCTTGTTGAAGACGAGTTTTTAAATTTTCTTGTTGTTAAGATGAAAACGTTATGCCATGATGACATCATTTTGCTTGCTGTGAAACACTTTGGTTCGGAGTGGATTGAGGCCTCAAAGAAGGTCCTCCATGATTTATGCCCGAGCCCAACGCTGCGTCTAGTAACGCACAAAGGCCCTCAAAAGGACGTTAACAACGTGAAGAGCTGCTTGAAGCTTCTTAATGAGGCCGGCGAAAACATCCCCCGCTTTGTGTCGCATCATCTGGACGAGCTTCCCACAATTACTTTTAGCAGTATGGATGTCTCCTGCCTGCTTGGTAAAATTGAGAAGCTAAGCACTGATGTTTCTCTGTTGACGCAAGCGATGTCTACCCAGACGAGTGTCTGCGAAAATCTCCGTGTGGTGACAGCTAACATGAGTGATCGCCTGGGCGCGGTAGAGCAACTTGGCGTGAACGGCGGAGGCAACCCGCCTTGTTCCGATCAGCTGGTGACGTGTCAAAGGATGGAGAAGACGGCGCGGCAGATCGGAGCTACTGCTGAGGTGCAAACGGCTTCATCACCTGCTTCGGGCGGTGGGGCTGGTGCCCGAACGGTGAGGAGGGATCCGGTGGTTTCAAATAATGTGGGGGGTTTGGATCCGAGTAACGCTTCACCTGCCTGGAGTCAAGTTGTTAAGGAAGGACGCCGTCCAAAGCGGGCTCCAGATGAAGGCCCTGCTCAACTAAGGCCTAAACGGAATTTCGCTAAGAGGCATGTTGTCGTGGGATCCTGTGCCGGAGGAAGGATCAAAGTTTTAAAAACGAAACTGGTGAGTGTCTTCGCAACGAAGTTCTGCCCTGATCTTATGCCGAGTGTGCTGGCTGACTATCTTAAAGAAAAACTACATCGTGAGGTGCGGTGTGAAAAGATTAACAACAACCAGAGCCGATGTAGTTCCTTTAAAGTTTCGGCAGAATGTGAGGAGGTATCTGAACTGTATGATCCTCAACTGTGGCCTGAAGGAACCTTCGTGAGGCGTTTCTATGAGAAGCGCAGAGCTGTGGCTGCAGATGGAGCTGCGGGTGGGCCCAGTGGGGAGCCGCTTACTCAGGAAGTACCCAGTAAAGCATGAGAATTGTGTCATATAACTCCCGTGGCCTGCGCCTCGGTAACGGGGCTGGGGATAGGGCACGTCGTATTGTTGTCGATAAACTTTTGGAAGATGTTGACATTTTATGTCTGCAAGAGACAATGCTGCCCAAACAGAACCTGGATCGGTTAAACTCCTTTCACTGCAATTTTTTTGGTGCTGGGGAGTCCACTACTGATCTGTCATCTGGAATTATTCAAGGAAGGATACCTGGAGGCGTGGCCATCCTATGGCACAAGGATTATGATCCTTTTATTTCTGTTGTCAGGCTAAATGTGGACTGGTGCATAGCAGTAAAGATTGTTATGGATGAGAAGGTATTCATGATCTTAAATATTTATATGCCATATGAGAGTCAGCAGAATGAAGATGAATATCTGGCGAAACTTGGTTTTTTAAGCTCATTTATCAGTCAGTGTGAGTTTAATTGTGTTTTTATTGTTGGTGATATGAATGCTGATATTTCAGACACTCGCTCCACCTTTGGGCAACATCTGATTCAGTTTTGTGTAAATAATAACTTGGTTTTAACTAGCA